AATTGTCTACAACAGGAATGTTCCTGTCTTTTAAAAGGAAGTGTTGCTTTAATAAAACGTTCATTTTCATTACTTCAACCTAATTAATGATTTGTAATTTTATTCTTGTTACACATACAGCAAAAACAAACAATCCATTTGAGTATTTTTCACTGTCATTTAGATAAATTATGGTTTCATTATAAGCTGTCATGTTCATTTTTTTTAATTCACCTAAGTAATTCATTGTTTTCTTGCCTTGAGTTGTGGTACTTCAATAAGCATCGTGGTAATAAGCAAGAAAATAGAAAAAAATAAAAATAATAAAAATTTAACATCTTTAAAAATCAACTTTTTCTGTAATTTTACACCAGAGAAATAAAGTGAAGAATCACCAGAGGGGACACAATCCAGGTTAGAAAATAATAAGAGCAGCTGGAAACTAATATTGGTTAATCAGACAAAATAGGCTCACAGGGACTCGTAAAAAAGTTGTGGCAAATGAAGAAATCTGACACCAACTGTTTACCGAAGGCAAATAAGAGAAGATGACAGCTGTTCAGGATGAAACAGAAATCAATACTGTGATGCTGGATAATTTGAGCTGAGCAGCGACACGCTGTGATTGGGAGATGGTGATGAGGAGCTGTGGGTTCCAGACTGATGCATGGTAAATTACTGTGTATTACAACGTCCAATTTGGCTGAAAAAAATTATTCTGAACTACTTCAGCTTGACGCAGTGGTGGGTGAATTTGAGAAATGCAATTATCAGAAAATCAGAGGTACTCAGAAACTTGTTGTGAATATAGTGTCAAGACCCCTCTGATACAGGCCTTCTGACAACAAAATAACCACCAAAACCAGTTAAAATAGACAACCAATCCCAGCTAAATGGAGCAATGGAGCTAGAGCTTGAAACAACTCTCTGTGTAAAGATGAAAACCCCCACATTGGAACAACTACAAAGTTGCCAGTKCACCTCACAGCCAAGCACGCAAGCATGAGCAGTTGTTGAGAAACACGAATAAAACCTCCCACTAAAGTCAGTGCAACTGTTAGGTGTACTGCTAAACTGGAACTTAATACACAAAAAAACATGTTGAAATCTGTATCAATAATTTAATCATATGATCACGCCTTACCTGAGCTTACAGACCTAACAGTTGTTTTAAAGGAGCCTGTTATGTTTGGCACTTTGGAGGGGTGGTAATATTTCGTAAAGCAGTGGCATTAAACTTTCTCGGTCTTATGATTAATTCAGGGGTTACATAATAATGTGACGGTGCTGGCGCTAAGAGAGCCSTGATGTGCTGTTCTCAGCTTTTACTAAGCCTGAAATGCTCAGCCTGACAAGTCAGCAACAAAACACAGTACTTTTGGCATTTYGTTGAAATTACAAGCAAATATTTTTTGTAGAGAAATTTGACTTTTGCTGTGGCTTTGAGATAAAAAAAAAAAATGATGACGGATAGAAACCGAGTTTTAATCCTGCGCACTTCCTGTATGACAGGTCACATCATTTAAAGAATTTCCTGCTTTTATTTTTTTTCAGTGATTCATGATGACATTAACATCTGATTGTAAATGAGGCTTAAAGTTTAGAGCAACTCTGCCTAAATGCATTTATTTGAGCTGACAAAAAATAATAACACTGCATTTACCACAAGAGTTTCTTTCATCTGTATGCAAACACCTGGCTAAAACTAATACCAATGCCATTATTTCTATTAAGAACTCACCTCATTTTCTGTAGTTAAAACTTTGCTCTCCTTTCTTGTCATCATGCCATCTCATTTTGTCTCCTTATCTTGTTATGCTTAATGGAACACGATGGAAGAATTAACACCTGTAACTTTTAATCTAGTGGCCCTCACACATAATGGCCAATGACAGCATGTTGAAGAGAGCGACTGGCATCAATGTCATGGATTTAATTGCAAAAATCAGAGCATCACAGTGGGCATATTTTGGTTTAAAGGTAAATGGTAAAATGGTCAAATAACCCGGAGAAAGCTGTCTCTGCTACCAATGAAACTCACTATTAAGATCAAATTGCAAAATCTAAACAAGCAAGGCAGCCGTAATATTATTATCCCAGCTTTGTTTGTCTGTTTTTAATGCCTGAATTTGGAAAAAGATATCAGTTTTATTTAAGTAATTCCCATGGAATTTCTAATACCTGCTCCTTTTWTATTCAGGTTATGTGTTAAAATGAACTACAAACAGTTATTTGACCTTTTGTTCAYAAAACTTTATAGGCCATGTGTTTATACCCTAAATTTGACCCCTGTGARCAGGGCCGGCCCTTTCCAATTTAGTGCCCCAGGCAAGATTCCAGGTGGTGCCCCCAGTGAAAAAACAATCTACTCATATRCATTTTCCTGCCATTTGAAAAGCATTTTACTAATTTCGTGGGATTAATAAAACCATATTAAATCAGTATTTTATGACATCAGAATACTGAAAAGCAAATTTTAACCTGAACTTTATCTGAGATAATAATTTAAACTTCCATTAACCATATTTTGTTTTTGTTTTGTATTCCCACATTGAGCACCAGTCTTGACTGCATCATATGATACTTTAATCAGGAAATATTCTCTGCATCGTATAAATCTTGGGTAGAAACAAAGCAGGCTGAGACACCCACAAAACAAGTTACCATTATAAGCTTGAGTAATCAGGGGCTATTTTACCAACTAAATCAGCTATGATAAAAAAAAACCTCATTTGTGGTGCCCTTTAAATGGATGGMACCCTTAGCATTTGCCTATACTGCCTATGCCACAGGTCAGCCCTGCCTGGAGGCATCCTGTAAACTACAGCAGCCAGGCACTAGAATGTATGTCACATCTCAGCATTAAAGTAATACAAAAAAACATTTGCTAGATTTTAAAATGCAGCTCAAATGTGTGGGTTACAATTCAGCATTTTCTTTAACAAGCCAGTAAATATTATTTAATGGTACATGGTGTTACAAAAACATTATTATTATATATTTTAATGCAACTACTTGGGTTTTTTGAAAAGAAGAAACTATGACAACACAGCCCCGGCACTTCGTTTTGGCCATCTCAGATGTGGAAATAAAGCTCAGATCCTGTCTCCCTTCATCTCTCCCCATGACTGAAACCCAATTTAACATCAAATCATGATGCCTTTACTCWGCCTTGCAGTACTATTAATAAAGCTCTGCCAATGCATTGGTTAACATTTAAAAGAAAGACCAAGAATTTTTTTTTCATTTAAAAAGCATTTCCTATGGACCAACAACAAAGCTCAAGCTCATCCTYAAGGGTTATAAATAGGTCAAAAACATGCCTTGTTCCACCATGACATTTCTGAATATTGTTTTGACATTTGGATTTGAAAATTTAACTTTTACTCCAAAATTTAACAGTTAWTTTAAAAAGTATATCCTRTCAGTCTTGCTTGAAAATTAAATATCAACTAAAATTCCATCACGTTGTCAACTTTGTACCAGTGTGCATCACAAACATGCATCCATCCATGTAATCATTCTTGCATTTTTTTCACCTTTGGGCAAATACTATTCAACCAACTTTCATATGTTTTATAGTTGCAATAAGCTAGTCTATTAAAAAACAACAACAATCTATTACAATGAAAAAGTCACAGTGGCCTCCTGGATACAGATGTTTTGTTGCCTGATAACTCTTGTCAGTCCTGGGGTTATTTTGAGTCACTG